ATAATTAATCCGTTGATACCACAGGTATGCAGAACCAAATCGCCGGATGAAGCAAAGACAACATCTTCTGCTCCCGGCGGACAGCTGCCCTTGTCTAAACACCTCAGTGAATCATTTGGCTCCGTGGCTCCTTCTCCAGAGGCTGGGTCACAACAAAGACCTACCATTTTCTAGTGCAACGGAGGATGCTATTATGCCTACAAAAGAGCAACATTTTTTGTTTTCGTGGTAGAATCATATTGCCCCCAAACAAACAGCCAACCCCACAAGTGGCTCACCTACCCCTTCTCATTTCTTTTCTTCTGTATGAACACACTGGATCTTTTGAAAATTAATCTCTACTCATCACAAAAAAAAATAGAAAAATAGAACATAGCTGGAAGGGTCATCTGGTCCAACCCCCTGCACAATGCAGGGAATTCACAGCTACCTCCACCCCCCACCCCCCGTGACTGCTGCTCTGTGCCCAGAAGAAGGCAAATAGGCTCCAGGGCCCCTGGGCCAATCTGGCCTGGAGAAAAATTCCTTCTGGACCCCACAGTGGTGATCAGCATCACCCTGAGCATATAAGAAAGGGCCACAAGAGCCGAGCACTGGGTCACCCCTTCTTGCCCTTCCTCTTATGATCTACCTAAATTCATAGTCATAGATCCAGAGGAGTTAGCCGTGTTAGTCTGTTGCTGTAAAATATTAAAAAGCCCAGTCGTACCTTTAAGACGAACAAACTTTATTGTAGCATAACCTTTCGAGAAACACAGCTCTCTTTGTCAGATGCACAGAAAGCTGTGTTTCTCGGAAGCTTATGCTACAACAAAGTTTGTTAGTCTTAAAGGTGCTACTGGGCTTTTCCCTAAATCCACAGTGAGTCATAGAATCAGCATTGCTGTCAGGTGGCCATCTAGCCTCTGCTTAAAAACCTCCAAAGAAGGAGAGCCCACCACCTCCGAGGAAGCCTGTTCCACTGAGGAACCGTTCTAACTCTCGGGAAGTTCTTCTTAACGTTTAGCTGAAAACTCTTTTTGTTTAATTTCAACTTGTTGGTTCTGGCCGGGCCTACTGGGTCAACAGATAACATTTTAAGAGGCCAACTGAAAAACTGAATATGAAACTAAAGGCCCAACCAGACGTTAAGGTAAGCCAGGCATGCACTGCTAAAAATGGCTGACCGTTTATTATCTATTTCCTATCTCTTATTTATTTATTAATTTTATTTAAAACATTTATATGCTTCCTTCCCACCCAAACAAGGTCCCCTACTCCATAACATAGTGGAAATTAGCTTGCACTGTACCATCACTGTATCCCATGTTTTCCTGCCCCCTCGTTTCGGCAATGGTGGCATGCATACGAATTTTGCAGTGGTACGAATCGAGTTAATTCTACAAGATAACTTTACAGAGAGGAAGAGGAACAAGATGTGCGGCGACTGTGTTCAGGAGGAGCTGTATGTTTAACTGTGACATCCTCAGCCCTAACAGCGCCACCCCCTGGTGATGTTGAGTGTGACAATAAAAAAACAGGGATTACAACATAGGGAAGACAATCTTCAATCCGATTCAGTATTTTATTTCACACACATTATCTACATAAGGGCCATTTGGTACATGCAGCAGCCAATAAGTGGAACTGTCAAAGACCTTCTCGAGGCAGGGCATTTGATTCAGGTATCGTAACACTGCGACTTTAGCCATGACAACATTTTCATACAGGTGTCTCATCATGTCATCTTTTGCTTGTAAACTGCCAATGAAGCCACGCACGTCGCTACATTTACAAGGACAAATCCGAATACAGTACTAAACAAATCAATAGAACACTAAAAGCATACACTGGGATGACAATACAAATTTTACAGCAAGTGCTGAAAGATCTAAGCTGTGGGGTGGAGTTTGTGCAGCGGGGGTTGAGAAAGTCACTCAAGTGCAGATTTGCAGACATGGTGGTTAGGGGAATTATGACTTGGAGGGCAACTACCCACAAAGTACAGTGCAGCTTCCATCTGCTCCAGTGTGGAGTCCCTGTGCAGGTGGATTGATGCAGTCACTAGCATGTAAATATTGATTCTCCTGTTTAAATTACTCCTGTCCACAGGCTTGCTTTCTCATTGGGTTAGAAGCTCTGAAAAATGTTTATTTTTTAAACAAACAGTAACATGTCATGTGTAAGATACCTGTGGAAGACATAATTCGTGTAAATCCTGCAGAACCACAACATAACTTTTTGCTAATGAAAGCAGGTACTTTTAATTGTTTTGTGGGGTTTTTTTTGAAAAATTTGAATTTAGCAACATATCTTGAAGCAGATTGTTTAAAAAGTGAGTTACGGAGGTAACTCACGAAGAATGGTTGCTGTGCATCGTTGCTTTTTTTTAATGATTCATGTACGGGTCTACTGAAACGAACACCAGTTGAGTGTATACCTGTCCAGTGCACAAGGTACCATCTCTGTACAGACGATGGAACTACACATCACAACACCCACAAAGGCTGCTGGCTAGAATGACAACCCCCGTGTACCATCTCTGTACACACAGACGATGGAACTACACATCACAACATACATAAAGGCTGCTGGCTAGAATGACAACCCCCGCATCTATCTTTCCTCCCTTTTCCTACGCGGTAAATCCTGCTTGTGTCCTAATGTCATACATTTCCTTGTCCCTGCCTAACATCATTGGCTGCCCCGCTGGTGGGAAAAATACACAACATTATGACATCAGGACACAGCTAAGTTTTATTAGAGGTTACAAAGGGGGAGGAAGAAAACTTGACACGGGGGGGGGATACCATTTTCAGGGGCTACCCTGTGTTTATTGTAATGTGTACTTCTGTCCAGTCACCCTACATGGAACTTCATAAAAGCCCTTTCAATTTCCTTCAGCACTGGAGTGTATTCTTTTGCACCAAGTCCCACTGCACGCAGAAGGCATTTAAGTCAAGACTGAAGAGATGGGACTGCCTCCCTAATTATATACGGCACCATGTAAGAATCAGAGCCCCACGTTGTGATCGCTGGAACAGATGAACAAAGAAAATTTGCTAACAGAAGTAAATATGCCTTTGGAATCTCCATGGGGGGAAAAAGCAAAAAGTTATCTCTTCATTATCAACGCTCAAACACAACGCAAGAGATTATGTTTGATTCAGCAAAGTGTCCATGTTCTGTGCGTTTTCGTGCCTTTTCCCAATCCCACAGTCAACTTTTGATAAATACAATGCACATTGCATAAAGTCACTTAAAAACATCTACATCCCATGACTGGATATATTTTTTTACCATCACCAAACATACACGATTTTAGCTTTGCCATAATTAAAAAGGATACAAATTTACAGCAGTAATGAGATAAACATTCCTAATGGTCTTTAATTTCTTGCCGTGCTTTTAAAATCTCAAGTAGATAGGCTGATTGTGGCCCCTGCAATCTTTGTTACATGTACAGTGTGCTAAACGGATCACCTACTCATTAAAAAAAAATCAGTGTTATGCAAACTACCAGGAACTTCTCCGTTGTTTGGCCTACTGAATCAGGGAATGGATTCTACACTGCTCCTAAACAATGTTGATTCATTTCAAGGGGGACTGCACAAAAAGAATCGTGTTTTACGTTAAGAACCCATGGTTTAATTTTATTTATTCATTCCGAGTCTAGTCTGGAATTTTCTACAGGCTCCACTTTTGTCGAACACGTCTGTGTTTACTAAGAGCATTCTTTCTGCATGTTTTCCAAGGCAAACAGAATGCAAGCTAGAAGCACTGAAAACACACGCACACACACATGCACACCAGTGCTTAAATAAAACATTTTCTACATAGTTTTTCTCTTTCCTGTGAACAAAATTCAGGTCATCTTCACACAAAAATAAATATGCAAGAGACTGGGGGGGGGGGAGCCGGGGGGGGGGGGGGGGTTGTATATGTGAATGTCAAGCTGTTACAATTGGATCTTCGTAAATAAAATGCACAAAAATATTGAAGCAGGATTCTAGTTAACTTTTCTATGTTTCTTGCAATGATTATCATCTTTGTGTCACCATGTGTTTCCAAACTCTTACATCTCTGTCCTTTAATGCAATGAAAATGTTGAAAATGGGCCACTTCATGGTTCCTTTTACGTACTGAAAAAACAAAACGAAACAAAAACCAAGCCAGTGATACAAAATGTGAAGGGTTCTTGTGCCCCTGCCAAATCCAGTGCAGGGGGGAAAAAGAACAGGCGTGGCTAAAACTACATTAGCATTGCCAGAAAATATTGATGTTCATATTGTTTTTCTCCCTTCACTTTTCCTTGCTAAGTTTCATGTTCTAAAATTTCCCACCATGGCGACATAATCACCCCCCCCCTCGCTAAAATCCATATAAATTGTTTCTTCATTTGTTGAAGAGTACTGCCAGTCCCAAATCATTCTGGAATGTCTATAGGGAAGTATGCTGATTCTCAAAGCGAGTAGGAAAAAATTCTCCTTCCTATCTATTATCTCGTGAACTCCCAAGCAATCTCTTAATGCTGTGAACTGGCGCGTGCCGTGGGCATATTGGAGCACCTGTGCACCCAGGTGTGGGGGAGATTGGGGTTCTCCTCTGCAAATCGAGAAAGCAAAGAGAGCTGCGTCTGCAGAGCTGCATGTGCATGCTGTGGGACCCCTAGAGATTTGGAGAGTGGCCCTAAAACCCCAAAGCCAGCCTTCCTCCAACAGCTGCTGGAAGAACATCAATGTAAACATAAAAGCTTTTCAGTAAACATCAAGATTTTAAATATCTCGATTTTAAGTTTTGTGGATTATTTCAGCTTTCCTTGATGTGATTAAGATTCAGCCCAGCTTCCATCTTGTGATTTGATTTTTTTTAAAAAATGCCAAATTAAGGTCTTCCCGGTGAAGCCACGACTCAAAAGGCCATTGCATACTGAAGCTCCTCCCTTTAACCTACGTATTTGTGATTTAAAACACACACATACACAACCCCCCCCAACATGCTGGTGTTATTACCATGGGCTGCTGAGTTAGTACGTACACCTCCAGCTTAGCAGATGGCTTCAAGCAGGGCTTTGTTCCAGAGAACCGAGCAGAATAAACCATTACTCGTCCAATCCTGCTGGATGGTTTTTATGGTCACCGGCACGGAACCCTCCAAGGGTTAAGACCACAGAGAGGGAGAGAAATTTACCAGGGCATTTTAAAAGAAAACTGTATTTAGAGAAAGAACTCCTGCCCCCCCCGAACTCTACACCACAAACCGATGTTCTTTGCCATCATGAGCCATAAGGATGACGTTGCGGTTGGAAGTCCAGATGAGCCTGGCCAGTTTGAGGACATTGTGGGTGCCTGGCGATGCGGTTTGGACGGGGGGCACTTGGTACGTTTTGATACAGCGGAGCTGCGGGGCAGAATTCAGCATTCCAATGCTTCCCAAAAGAGAGGTGTTCATCTGCCGAGAGAAATTGAGAAAGAGAGAAATGGTTGGTCCGATAGTAAAAACCGAAGATCGGTTTCGGTGGAGTGCGATGCAGTGCGGAATGGAGAAACCCCCAATAAATATTCAAAGGAGCAAGACTTTTGATTGGCCGCAACATGGTTTATTTCTTAATTAATTAAAATGTTTATATCCCACTTTTCCTCATGGTTCAAGGTGGCTTACAATAATAGTTAAAACACATTCAGTTGACAAACCAAAATCGCAAACCTCCAAATCATTCCATCCTTAAAAGATGCCTGCCAATTCAAGCCCTCTCAAAAGCCCTGGTGAACAGGCAGGCCTTGCGGTACCGCCTGAAGATCTCCAAGGAGGCCCCCCCCCAATCTCTTCAAGGATCCCAAGGAGCAAGACTTTTGATTGACCGCAACATGGTTTATTTCTTAATTAATTAAAATGTTTATATCCCACTTTTCCTCATGGTTCAAGGTGGCTTACAATAATAGTTAAAACACATTCAGTTAACAAACCAAAATTGCAAACCTCCAAATCTCTCCCTCCTTAAAAGATGCCTGCCAACAAGCCCTCTCAAAAGCCCTGGTGAACAGGCAGGCCTTGCGGTGCCGCCTGAAGATCTCCAAGGAGGGCCCCCCCATCTCTTCAAGGATCCCAATCCACAGAGCTGGCGCCACAATGGAAGAGGCCTGGGCTCTGGTTGATAGTAGAAGGGCCACTCTGAGGAAGAAGAAGAGTTGGATTGATAACTTACCTTTCACTCGGAGTCTCAGAGTGGCTTACAATCTCCTTCCCTCCCCCTCTCCCTCCCCCCAACAGGCACCCTGTGAGGTAGGTGGGGCTGAGAGAGCTCTGACAAAAACTGCTCTTTTCAAGGACAGCTCTTGTCAGAACTATGGCTTGCCCAAGGTCACAAAGCTGGCTGCATGTGGAAGAGCGCGGAATCAAACCCGGTCCTCCAGATTAGAGTCTGCTGCTCTTAACCACTACACCTGAGTTCGATTCCCCACTCCTCCACCACATGAAGCCAGCTGGGTGACCTTGGGCCAGTCACAGTTCTCTCAGAACTCCCTCAGCCCCACCTACCTCACAAGGTGCCTGTTGTGGGGAGAAGAAGGGAAGGTGATTGTAGGCCGCTTTGAGACTCCTTAGGGTAGAAAAAAGTGGGGTATAAAAGCCTACTCTTCTTCTTCCTAGAGACAGCTGGTTGGCTGCTGTCTGCACAGTATCCTGGACTCGGCCCTTTGGTCTGATCCAGCATGGCTCTCCCTATGTTCTTATCCTGTTCATGCAGAAAGGGAGGGAGGAGGGGAAACTGAGGCAGCTGCACCTCAGCTTTGCTACTGTCTGTTTTGCTTCGGAAGAGGATCCACACATGGGGAACTTCACTGAACCCTCACCTACCGTTCGTCCATACTTCCTACTTGGCTGCCACCAGTCAGAATTTTTCTTTAAACTGCACCTCAGCGAATGCAGTTTCAGGCAGGAAGAAGAGGAGGAGGAGGAGGGCGAGATTGGATTTATACCCCGCCCTTCACTTGGAGTCTCAGAGCGGCTTACAAACTCCTTTCCCTCCCCCTCCCCACAACAGACACCCTGTGAGGTAGGCGGGGCTGAGAGAGCTCTTTTGAGAACTGCTCTTTCAAGGACAGCTCTGACAGAACTATGGCTTGCCCGAGGTCATCCAGCCAGGTGCAAGTGGAGGAGTGGGGAATCAAACCCGGCTCTCCCACATTAGAATCCACGCACTTAACCACGACACCAAGCCACGTGGGTCTGCAGCAGAAGAGCACGATCTGAGCCCAGTAGCACCTCGAAGACCGACAAGGTTTCCAGGGTATGACCTTTCGCGAGTCAGAGCTACCTTCATCAGATACAAGTGGCATCTGACAAAGGGAACGTTGACTGCCAAAAGCTCATACCCTGGAAACCTTGTTGGTCTTCGAGGTGCAACTGGACTCAGATCGTGCTCAATGAATGCAGTATACGCTTTACCAGGGGTCATTTCGTAGAAAAAGAGGTGCAAAAGCTCATTTGCATAACTTATTTGCATATAACACATCCCCTGACATCACCGGAAGTGTGTCAGAAGGCAATACCAACCGCTCAGGCTCCACTGGACTGTTTTGGATTGCTAGCTATTGGCGGGGGGGGGGACTCCTATGCGCTCCTGTAGGAAATGACCCCTGCGCTTTACTGAATGTGAAAAACTTTTACAGTCAGAGTTGTGCCACAGTGGAACCGGCTGCCTAGGGAGGTGGCGGTGGTGAGTTCCCTCTCCCTGGCAGTCCTTAAGCAGCGGCTGGACAAACACCTGTCAGGGATGCTCGAGGCCAGGGGTGGCCAAACTTGCTTAATGTAAGAGCCACACAGAATAAACATCAGAGGCTCGAGGGCCGCAAGACGTGAACAAATATTACATGTTTTTATCTGGAAAATATGCAAATTTGCCTTTTATTAACATTAAATGAGACTGTCAAAAATAATAACAAAAGGGGTAAAAGCAGATGTTGATAATGATATTTGTTTGTCCGATGATATTTGTTTTAGCTTCCCCAGCTGCCCCGCCGGGAGCCGCACAATAGGTGTGAAAGAGCCGCAGGCGGCTCCCGAGCCACAGGTTGGCCACCCCTGCTCTAGGCTGATCCTGCACTGAGTGGGGGGGTTGGACTAGATGGCCTGTATGGCCCCTCCCAACTCTGCGATGCGTCTATGAAGTCCCAGTCTAGATGGCCTTAAGCAAGCCACTGTTTTCTCATTCCTACCTCTGCCCACCCTGTTTATACACATGGGATAAAGAACGAGGGTCTACTTTATGTGAACCTTGTTAGAGCAGGCCGTGACGACCGAAATCATGTGGTTCTGTGAGAACAGCCTTTCCCAGGCACTTCCATGGGAAGGTTAGCTCTAAGTATGCCTTCCTATCCACATGCAAAGCTCTCTCTTCCAATGAAGAGGGGCGTTCTTGCTGGCAGGAAAGAGCTATGTGCTTGCTGGGACTCCCCGCACTGAATCAATGAATTGGGGTGCAAAAATTCAACCCCGTAGCCTTTGCCACTGGGAAGCATGCCTTTAATCTTGCATTGAAAATGGATTTTAAAACAAACAAACCTGCAGCTGCAGTATTAATTAACAAATCAAACCAATCACTGATTTATGAAGTTTGCTGAGACTGTCTTTTCTATGCATTAAAATGTGTGTGTGTTAAATTCCCCACAGCCATACAAGATTGCAGCAGAAAACATCTGCGTCGGTCACTGGTGCTTCGGAATAGTAGAATGGGTGTTATCGACAGAGTGCATTTTGAGGAGAAAAAGAAAAAGGAAGCAACAACAGGCAGCATCTTTCTATAGTTCTGCCATTTCTCCAAGCAAACTATCAAGGGAACAAACCTTTAAATATCGGAGCTTCCAATTCTCTAGGCAACCGGTCAATTTATATCACTTTGCTAGATGTGTTATGAGCTTTAAAACAAGGAAATAAAGCAACAGACCTTTGCTGGCTTACATGCCCCTGTAATTTTGGACAACAACCCCCCCCTTTCAACTAAATGCATTAGGATCTATAAATCTGCACAGAACAGGTGGGGATGATGGTTCGAATGTTGCGCCCAAGACTCCAATGCACGAAAACCTTGGCATATCCTAGGACGTTTTAAGATGTGCTACTGCCGATATCACGTCCTGAATTCTGATCAGTGCAACAGAGAAAGCATTACTTCCCCCCCCCTCCTTCTCAGCAGCAGAATGGTGTCAGAGAGTGTAAATCATGGCATCCGTAGCAGGGAGCATGCAAGCCCCGCTGACATTTTCACAATTTAAATCATCTTGAGTAATAACCCTTTTAAGATGACTAATGTTGCTGATTTTCCTGCATTAATAGTAGTGCTGAATAGAACACAGGCGGGGTCGGTGGTGGGGGGGGAGAGAATCACTAGTGCAGAGGAGGTTACATTTTATAACGCAACGACTAGGCTCGTTTTTACTCTTTATGTTGGGTTTTTTTTAAAAAAAAAACACCCGAGAAGAGAGGAGGATTTAAATAAAGCAGACTTAAGTGTGGCAGTTTATTTGTGCAAGCACGTGCTCGGGCAGAGAGATCGCACCCGCCGTCCCCAGCACTCTTAGACGATCATGTAAAACATCTCAATCAATACGACTGATTGCTTCCCTAGATCTTCCCAGGTAACTCAGCTAAATATATGCAAGTGATGGAAGAGGGGTTTTTCACAGTTCTTATTCACTGCTTCAGAAATCACACGCTTATATGATGATGGATAATAATTCAATACGCTTAACGACACGTACGGTTATCACCGAATGACATGTGGAAATTCACGGTGGATTAAAAGATATATACTGCTCGCTGATGGTTACAGGAATACTGAATCCAAGGAAACGATAATTCTACCAGCAGAGGCTCCTCCCGCGTTCACAAAGGTATTCTTGCCTATGCGGGCTACGATTCTGAACGGGAGGCGTAATCTTCTCGGAATACCTGCTGCATGAGCCCTGCCAAAATGGATGGGGGCGCTTCGACCACCCAACGCCCACTGCGCTTCAGTGGGGACTGCACAGGAGGACACCCTGTTGCCCAAGCTTATCAGCGGATTAGATCCCCCTGAAAGCTTAACGCATTCACATATTTATTTTCAGAGCCCTCACCGACGATGAACAAATTTTACCGCAACGGACAGGAAGCTGCCTTCTTCCAGGACTGGAGTTCAGCAGCAGAATCTTTTTTAAAAAAATTGTGTAGATTTGGAAACAGGACTTTACCCTGACTGAAAAAAGCAAGCAACATGAGGAAGAACGTCCTGACGGTGAGAGTGGTTCCTCAGTGGAACAGGTTTCCTGGGGAGGTGGTGGGCTCTCCTTCTTTGGAGGTTTTCAAACAGAGGCTTAGATGGCCATCTAACAGCAGTGCTGATTCTGTGAACGTAGGCAGATCATGAGAGGGAGGGCAGGAAGGGTTGCCTCAGTGCTTAGTTCCCAAGGCCCTTTCTTACATGCCCAAGGAAATGCTGATCACCACTTTGGGGTCGGGAAACAATTTTTATCCAGGCCACTTTGGCCAGGGATCCTGGAGGGTTTTTTTTTTGTCATCTTCTGGGCATGTGACAGGGGTCACTGGGGGTGTGTGGGGGGGAAGGTATTTGTGAATTTCCTGTATTGTACAGGGGGTTGGACTAGATGACCCTGGAGGTCTCTTCCAACTCTATGGTTCTGTGAACCCTGTTAGTGGAGATATAGTGCAACCTGCTGGACATTGCATCCAGGGCCAGTTTTAGGTTTTGTAGGGCCCCAGGCAGAAAGTGTCCATGGCCCCTTTCTTTCTCTGACCACCACCACCACCACCTCTGACCTGCTTGTGTTGCCCTTCCAGCCCACATTAATCTGTGAACCCTGTTAGTGGAGATATAGTGCAACCTGCTGGACATTGCATCCAGGGCCAGTTTTAGGTTTTGTAGGGCCCCAGGCAGAAAGTGTCCATGGCCCCTTTCTTTCTCTGACCACCACCACCACCTCTGACCTGGTTGTGTTGCCCTTCCAGCCCACATTAATCAACACCTGCCTGTGCGTCCTTCCTCCCTCTGCCCATTTGTGAGCCCTTCCCGTCGCCTGTATGTCCCTTGCCTGTGTGCAGATGGGATCACCACCACTGTGCCGGCTGGGAGTGCCATAATTGTACATCAACTGCACCCTGGTAACATGTGCTTGGGGGGGGGGAGGAGGCTCTGTGGCAGTGGGCCCCACCAGATACTCTGGGCCCTGGCAGCTGCCCCTCCTCAGGGTATGCTGATGCCGGCCCCGAGAGCAGGTGTGCATTCTCTGCTCTCTCGTGGATCACACTCCAGTCCCCATCTTGGGCTCTTATAGCCTGTATCTGGAGATAAGAGGCAGCAGGGTAAACATCTGGTTGTGGGCCACCAGTGGGGTAAATACGCCCGCTGTTTCCCCTTCATGTCTGAGGTGACGGTGAGTCCTGCGGTGTTTAAGAACTGGCCTGTCTATTAGAAAGGCTTCTCTTATGTTCTTACGTTCACACCTGACAAAAGAAAACAACTAGTCTTCCTTTTGGGTAAACACAGTGGTCCTATTCAGAGCATGTCTTATTACACCAAACACAGACAGAAGCGTTTAAAAACAGAGCAAAGTAGAGCAAAAGGAATAAATCTGACACGCCTTTTTTTGAAACATATAACTTACCTGCCAAAAGGAGATGTGACTGTCTTTGTTCGAGTAAGTGGCAAGATACCGTCCGTCAGGAGCAAATGCCACAGCGGTGATGGGCCCCTGGTGGCCATGGATGGTCTAAGCGAGAATGAGAGACAGTGATGTAAAAGGCCACCAAGCTACCATCATACAGACACAGAGCAACCACACTTGTGGATTAAAGGAGGGTAAAAATCCATCGAAGAACATCTACTGAAGGCTAATGCAACGGCCTCTTATGAAAGCCTGCCTCTTATGAAACCTGGCGACTGAACCAAAGGTTTGTTAATTTGTCTTCAAGGACAGACACACCACACGGAGCAAAAGCTTCTCAACTTAGGTTACTCCAGGGTGTTAACAAAATTGCAGTCTAGAAACGTCACGGCTAAATAATAATGCCAAACATTTCTAGACTGGCTCACTCTTATGTTCTTACGTTCACACCTGACAGAAAAACTAGTCTTCCTTTTGGGTAAACACAGTGGTCCTATTCAGAGCATGTCTTATTACACCAAACACAGACAGAAGCGTTTAAAAACAGAGCAAAGTAGAGCAAAATGAATAAATCTGACACACCTTTTTTTGAAACATATAACTTACCTGCCAAAAGGAGATGTGGCTGTCTTTGTTCGAGTAAGTGGCAAGATACCGTCCGTCAGGAGCAAATGCCACAGCGGTGATGGGCCCCTGGTGGCCATGGATGGTCTAAGCGAGAATGAGAGACAGGGATGTAAAAGGCCACCAAGCTACCATCATACAGACACAGAGCAACCACACTTGTGGATTAAAGGAGGGTAAAAATCCATGGAAGAACATCTACTGAAGGCAAGTAATGCAACGGCAGAACTTCTGTGGAAGCCTGCCTCTTATGAAACCTGGTGACTGAATCAAAGGTTTGTTCATTTGTCTTCAAGGACAGATACACCACATGGAGCAGAAGCTTCTCAACTTAGGTTATAGGGTGTAACAAAATTGCAGTCTAGAAACGTCATGCTGCAACCAGGGCCAGATCTTTTTCAGTGGCGGCCCCCACCTGGTGGAACGAGCTCCCGGAGGAAATCAGGGCCTGCGGGACCTGATGCAGTTCCGCAGGGCCTGCAAGACGGAGCTCTTCCGCCTTTTATATAGGGGCCGCCACTTCTACTACTACCACCACTGAAACAACAGGGTTGGGAGTGGTCCCCGAAAGAACTGCCATAAATTTGCATGGCACTGATGCCGCTGGACTGGCTTGGACCATCGACAGGACAAATTCACCTAAGGAAATGATTGCTACCATCCTCAGAGACCATCTTGTCTGCATGGAGCACTTTATCTGTTTGTGTGATCTAATGGTTTTACTGTTTTATATTGTGTTATGTATGGGCTTATGCCCCTGTGTAAGCCGCCCTGAGCCTGTTCGCGGGGAGGGCGGGGTAAAATTGCAAATAAATAAATAAATAAATAATGCCAAACATTTCTAGACTGGCTCTGGCCATCAACAGCTGCATGTATCACAATCACACATCAGCAAACATCTCCTGAAACTTTCTGCTGTAAAAACTGACGGCACGTTTTTGAGAACAACGACAACGGGGTAGACAAGTGTGCTTTTTGGAAACAGTTTCCTTTCTTCAAACGTAAGCTAAGAGCAGATTACAAGATAGGACAGAAAATAATTAGCACAGGCATTACAAATGATTACAACATGTCGCTGAGACAGAATGGAAGCATACTGGAGTTATAAGGACAGAACAAGGTTTGAGTCCCGTGGCACCTTTAAGACCAACGAAGTTTAAGCTTTCGTGTGCATGGTCTTAAAGGTGCCACTGGACTCAAACTTTGTTCTGTTGCTTCAGACTGACACGGCTACCCAACTTGGAGTTATAAAAAGTTAGGCAAATTTCTGCAGGCCCAACTTTAGGCTCAGATTCTCTCTCGGTGAGAGTCTGAACAAAAGATGGGACACTTCACAGTAATTCTCTTTCTTGCACCCTTCCACCCTTTTCCTGCATCCTTTAAAGATGTCCCCTAAGCACATACTAACACTAAAGACTAAAGCATCTTTATATAGTAGAATAGCATTACTAACATTTTCTTAATGAATCTGACAGCAGCAACTCCCAGATAAGCCATTGCCACCATTTTCAGATGGGACCTGAAGCTACATAAGAGTGAATCGACTAGGACTACCATATGAAATCATGGCTAAGTAGGGATGGATGCTAGACCAGCCTAAGACATTAACCCTGATCACTCACAACAAACTCTCCTTCAGCAAGTGGCCGGACAAGCTATCAGTCAGAGTTTAACAGTTACTGGGAAGCTAGCTTCTCCTCCATCTCGGAGAGCATAGTACCACAACCAGTAGTCCGTGTACACAGTTCTGGTTCAAATCACCAGCTTAGAAGGCCAAGCTTTGACAGAAGCTTTTGCCACTTCCCTCCTAGATCAGTGATATGCAAACTGCTGGCTGCTCTCTGAAATACTGCAGGGAATTTTTTTGTCCATTGCCCTTTTCCTTAACAGAAGGGCATGTACAAAGCAAATAAAAATTACAAGACTATGTGCTCTTTGCATTAGCTTTTAAATTTTTTTTTAATGTGTGTGTGTCATGAAAGTCATGGTTGTCTTCTGGTGACCCCTAGTGGGGCTTGGATGTTTCAGAGAGGCGGCTTGCTATTGCCTGCCTCTGCGTCCCAACCCTGGTGTTCCTTGGAGGTCTCCCTTCCAAGTATTTGCCAGGATTGGCCCTGCTTCGCTTCCGAGATCTGATGAGAACAGGTTTGCTTGGGTTATCCAGGTCGGGGCACTCTTTGCATTAGCTTTTCTTGCCCCTTCCCATTAACGGTGTTGTGTTGCTGGGTGTCTGGTAATGGACTGTACTGAGAGCTCTCCCCCTCGCCGCTGCTTTAGAGCATTCCATGTGCCCAAATGGCATTCTTCAGGCTCCTCTTCCTGGGAGATCCTGGGTTAGAATCAGTCCCAATCGACTCTGAACCATCATGAATCTAACTCCCCATGCCTACTTGAAGAGCTCCAAGGTGAAGGAAGGGTAGAATGGGGAGTGGGGGTGGTGTCAAACTTGCTACGTTTCAAATTTACATATTCTGGGATTTAACCTGCTGCTACTCATCATTCTACAATCATCATCGGCGCTCTAGTTGCTACACAGAGGGAAGACACTTTGTAACTGGTGAGATCATTTGCTCTTCCCACTGTCCCGTGCAATGCATTTTCTGACCATTACCTGATAGTTACATAGTCATTGCATGCTGTGTCAGGGCAGAAAAGCTCCCCGGGACCAACAGAGTTACATCACTGCAGACTTCATCATCCCTGTTCTTGGGGGCAGTGACGTCTGGCTGAGTATTAAAGCACTGAACTGGGACTGAAAGGTGCTCCCTGTGAGGTTATGGGGCAGCTGTCCTTCTATGGGAAAACAGGGCTCAGGGGAAGAGTCGAACAGAAAAACAGAGTGGTTTTTTTTCTTTTCTGAATAACAGTTTTGGATTTATCTTCCAGTGTTTGGTGTTATTAAAAAAAAAAATTGCTGTCAAATAGTAACCGACTTATGGCGACCCCATAGGGTTTTCGAGGCAGGAGACCTTCAGAGGTGGTGTGCCATTGCCTGCCTCGGCATAGTGGACCAGGAACTCCTTGGTGGTTTCCCATCCAAGTACTAACCAGGGCTGATCTTGCTTAGCTTTCTGACACCTGACAAGATGGGGCTTTCTTCATTTGTGCTTTAGCGCAGCCTGAACTTGTCCTGCTGGAAGGATGGCCGGCAAAGAACTGGATGGTCAGCATGGGGATAAGCCCCTCCCCCGCCCCCACATTATGGGATGCCTTGCCTGAGGAGGTCGGGAAGGCTCCTCCTCTCCTGTTTTTCTGCAAATGATGCAAAGCTGAACTACTCAAGAGGGATTTTCTATGCAGGCAGCTGAGTACCATACTATATGTTTCACAAAGTTACTTGGGCAAATTGTTAGAGACTGTACCACCTTGCTCCTGTTTTTCTGCAAATGATGCAAAGCTGAACTACTCAAGAGGGATTTTCTATGCAGGCAGCTGAGTTGTACCAGACTATATGTTTCACAAAGTTACTTGGGCAACAGCTGAGTACCATACTATATGTTTCACAAAGTTACTTGGGCAAATTGTTAGAGACTGTACCACCTTGCTGGATCAGGGGAATACTGTAAATATAGTTTATCTTGATTTCAGTAAGGCTTTTGATAAGGTTCCACATAATATTATTGTTGAGAAGTTAGTAAAATGTGGTTTGGATCCTATTACTATTAGGTGGATCTGTAACTGTTTGATGGATCCCACCCAAAGAGTGCTTGTTAATGGTTCCTCATCTTCTTGGAGAGGAATGACAAGTGGAGTGCCTCAAGGATTTGTCCTGGGACCTGTTTTGTTCAACATGAACAAATAAATGATTTGGATGAAGGAATAGAGGGAATGCTTATTAAATTTGCAGATGATACTAAATTGGGAAGGGTAGCAAATACAGTAGAAGACAGAGTCAGGATACAGGATGATCTTGACAAGCTGGAAAACTGGGCTAAAACAAATAAATGAATTTCAACAGGTATAAATGTAAAGTTCTTTGTTTAGGCAGGAAAAATGCATAATTATAGGATGGGAAAGACTTGTCTTGGCAGTAGTATGTGCGAAAAGGATCTAGGGCTCTTAGTACATCATTTACTGAACATGAGTCCGCAATGTGATGAAATAGCTAAAAAGGCAAATGCAATTTTGGGCTGCATCAACAGAAGTATAGTCTCCAGATCACACGAAGTGATGGTATCACTTTGTTCTGGTTAGACCCAGTGTTCCCTCTAAGCTGAGTTAGTGTGAGCTGGCTCACAGTTTTTTAGCCTCCGGCTCACACATTTTTGTCTTAGCTCAGGAAGGATGGCTCCAGAGCAAACTGATTTATGCAGTAGCCAAATTGTTCGCTCACACCTTTCATGCCAGTAGCTCACAAAGTAGAATTTTTGCTCACAAGACTCCACAGCTTAGAGGGAACATTGGTTAGACCTCACCTAGAGTATTGTGTTCAGTTTTGGGCACTGCAATTTAAGAAGGATATAGACAAGCTGGAACATGTCCAGAGGAGGGCAACGGAAATGGTGAGGGGTCTGAAGACCAAGTCCAATGAGGAAAGGTTGAAGGAGCTGCGTATTTTAGCTTGGAGAGGAGACAACTGAGAGGTGATATGATAACCATCTTCAAGTACTTGAAGGGTTGTCATATAGAGGATGGTGGGGAGTTGTTTTCTGTTACCGCAGAACATCAGACCAGAACCAATGGGTTGAAATTAAATCAAAAGAGTTTTCGGCGAAACATTAGTTAGAGCGGTTTCTCAGTGGAACAGGCTTGCTAGGGAGGTGGTGGGCTCTCCTTCTTTGGAGGTTTTTAAACAGAAGCTAGCTGGCCATCTGAGATCAATGCTAATTCTGTGAACTTAGGCAGATCATGAGAGGGAGGGCAGGAAAGGTTGTATCAGCGCTTAGTTCTTGTGGTCCTTTCTTGCATGCTCAGGGAAATGCTGATCTCCACTTTGGGATCAGGAAGCAATTTTTCTCCAGGCCAGTTTGGCCAGGGATCCTGGAGGATTTGTTTGTTTTTTGCCATTGTTTGGGCATGGAGCAGGGGTCACTGGTGGTGTGTGTGGGGGGGAGGTAGTTGTGAATTTCCTGCATTGTGCAGGGGGT